TGCTGATGACTGAAGTGTTCCTGTTGGCTCTCTGGTGCAGCCAATAGAAGGCAGGACCTCAGCCTTCTCCTCTAGCTCATGTACCACCTGTCCACAGATGTCTGACCCTAGCAGACCAGCCCAGACAGCAGAAGCAGAGTTCTGCTCACCGTGGACTTTGCAGACCTGAGGAACCTACAGATCCAATAGAGGAGGGAAAGTATACTTTGGCTTTGGGGCCCAAACCCTTGGGTCGTATACATTTCAGAGAAACAGCATATGGAACTGGAATAAAATGTTTTTAAAATCCTTGTAGGTGGGTTTTTTTTGGGGGGGGGGCGGGGTTGTCTGGGTTGTTTTTAACTATAAATCTACAAAGCATTTCGATCACTGTGTTTCTAAATTTATTGTTTGTAAGTGTCCATTTAAATTTCTACTTGAAAATAAGAATGACTTGAAATTGTGTATATTTTATTGTGGTGGTGATTTAAGGAACATTATGTCTCTTGTTTCATAGACTCTGATCCTCTTATGACCTACAAGCAAACAAATAACACTTTCTAGATTATTGGTAACCTCCATTATGGTTCCTGGGGTTTTGGAGCTGAATTTCTGTGCAAATGTCTTCAGAGCTTAAACAAATAAGCAAACCAGTGCAGCTTGACTCCAAGGTAACGAATGGACCGGAGTTGCTTCTCTTTGTCTTTTAGGTTGCTCAGCCTTCTAAAAACCGAAACAATCTATAGTGGAATGGTTATCCATCATACCTGATTTATGTAACATATCGTACTTAATAATTTGATTGGGTGCTGTCAAGGAAAATAATGTATTCAGGAAAGACTAGTTGATTCACATAGAACAAGTAAGCTCTGGTGTGTCAGCATTTGAGAGTACTTCTGCCACGACCATGTCATGTAACTACCAGTTTTCCCTTTTCTTAAATGACCTCATTATAACAATTACAATTCCTTACATGTGTCTATGACTCTGGTGCTTTTACAGACATTATCTCTCTCTCTTTTTTTAAAAATATATTTTATTGAATTATTTTACAGAGAGGAAGGGAGAGGGATAGAGAGTTAGAAACATCGATCAGTTGCCTCCTGCACACCCTCCACTGGGGATGTGCCCACAACCAAGGTACATGCCCTTGACCGAAATCTAACCCAGGACCCTACAGTCCGCAGGCCGACGCTCTATCTACTGAGCCAAACTGGTCAGGGAAGACATTATCTCTTTTGATATATGTCAGTGATGGTGTTATTATTGCCCCCATTTCAGGGAGATTAAAAGCTCAGACTCTGAAATGAAACTGATGAGAATTTGAATCTTGGTCTCCTTAATTTTCAAGATATAATCTTAAGCATGCTTCATTGCCTTTCTGAGCCCCAGTTTACCTATCGGTAAAGTGGGGATGTAATAAGATGGTTGTGAGGTTTAAATGAATAAAAGTGCTGAGCCTGGCTGGTGTGGCTCAGTGGTTGAGCGTCAAACTATGAACCAGGGGTCACAGTTTGATTCTCTGTCGGGGCACATGCCAGGGTTGCAGGCTCGATCCCCAGTGTGAGCGTGCAGGAGGCATCCAATCAGTGATTCTCTCTCATAGTTGATGTTTCTATCTTTCTCTCCCTCTTTCTTTTTCTCTAAAAACAATTGTTTAAAAGTGCTGATAATAGTGGTTGGTACATAGTAAGTAGTCAAGAAATGTTGGTATTTAAATAGAAGGTAAATGAAGCTTAGAGATATTGAGACGTGTGCCCTTGATGTAACAAAAACCAGGACCCAGGTTAGCTGACCTCAGAGGCCACGATGAAGCCCTCTCCCTCTGTTTGCAATGCAGCTCTCTTAAAGTGTGACTCAGCATAATTTCTAACTATCTTCTGCCTACATACTGATCAAACACAAAAGCACTTTTTCCTCTTAACCAGTGGACTTCAAAAACCTTCCATAGATGCCTTCATGAAAGTCAGTGAGTGGATGCCTGGGCCTTGTCCTGGTACAGGAACATGCAACGAGAATAACTCATAAAAGTGTATCAGTAAGAAAAAATATGCCACAAAATGAGCTTCAGTAGTAGCTCAGTGCCCCAGCAGGAAGCTCTTCCAAGAAGCAAGCTTATAATAAGTGAGACTGAGGAAAGTCTCAAAATCTTTACATCATTGTATTTTTGTCTCTCTTTTTAAACAGACATTCTAGTACACATGATCTGCCTATTCTGCTGGTTTAAGAGGGAAAACGTGAGCCCTGGATGGTGCAGCTCGATTGGTTGAGCGGCATTGTCCTGTGCACCGAAAGGTTGCTGGTTCAATTCCTGGTCAGGGCACATGCTGGGGTTGCAGATCGATCCCCAGTAGGGGACATGCAGAAGGCAGCTTTCACATTGATGTTGCTTTCTCTTTCCCCCTTCCTTCCTCTCTCTCAAAAAATCAAATATTTTAAAAATAGAAAATAAAAAGGGAAATACTTGGGTTTAATGTACGGTAAATGTCCAGAACTTCCAAATATAGATACCAGTCCCCTTATATCATCATACATATTCTTTTCCATCTCTATGGAGAAAGCTTATAAATGAAACTCATGGGGTTCTGTGATTCTTTGAGTTTTCTAATGAGGCTCTCTCCCTTGAGTTCTAAGTGGGGTCATTCTCAAGAACAAAGTTCCTTGTTACTGCTTCACAACTCAGCTCCCTAGGTGCTTTCTGAGTCACTTCAGTTTAATTTATTTACCCTTTGGCTGACTGTCTTCAATGTGTATTTGAGCCCAACTGATGTTCGAGTATGTCATAATCACAGGCAATAAGACGGTGGTCCTCTGTTTTTAACCTTGGAGCCAATGACATTCCATCTCTGGACTTAATGTTCTAGGTTCTTGAGCCCTAAATTTCTGGCTACATTCTAATCCTGTAATCCTCCGAAACTGATGGTGATGTTTCATAATTTCAAGTTCAGCATTTTCTTACATGGAACCTTGCCATTAGTTTGCCAGAGGAGAAATACTCTGTTTTGTTTCTGGGAGAACTAAAAGATGGAGAGAGAGATGGGAGTATAAATGTAGAAATAGAGACAAAATGTAACTCACTCTTCAGTAGGACGTTTTTTGAATTGGCTATTATTACTATGGTTGACTTTCAAAACAATAGCTCTCACATATTTAACCAAAAATGTATAGTGAAAAATGGCCCAACTTCTTTGTTCGGTGGAATGTCTGTCAGTTGGAAGATATCTTGAATATACACCGTGTAAAAAAATATTTCTTGGTTTTATAGGAGGCATAAGTTTTCAAGCACCAGCTGAAATTCTTCTTGAAATAAACAAAAAGCAGCACCAAGGTTTGAGGTTCTTCTTCAACCGGCACAAGGAAAATTAAAAATTCTAACCGGGATCTCTGAAGATGACACTTTTTTTTTTCATGTAGAGAAAAACAATGACCATAAATAAATAAAATCAAAACTATCTTGATGTTATTAGTCTTAGAGGAAAATTCCCTGGAACTTAGGCATCTCTTTAAATTCTTTCTTCATCAGGAGACTCCTTCCAAAAAGAAAAGAAAAATAACAATTATATAGAATAATTACAGGACTCTGGTTGACAAGCCAAAAGGGATACTAGTTTTCTGGCTTTCAAATGGGCCCAGGTAAATCTGTCCAAATTCAGGTCTTCCTAGTAAATAAGATGTTACCTTTCCAAATACAAACTCTGCCTGTCTTGTTTCATAAACTGTCATGGCTAATATAATTTCTTTAGACATTACAAATAAAATATGATCTCCCTAGTACACTTCATGTAAAAAGGAGGTGATTCAGTAGTCAGGAACCTTGCAAAGAGCAGAGAGAATAGACAACGGCGCCTCCTGTCGGTGAGGACATGAGATTTTTATACCAGAAAGATATCTGTGGAATGGACGCTTGAAGGTCCACGCCAGCTGCAAGGCATGGGTCCTGGCACTGCTTCCGACCCTATTCATTGCTGTCTTCCTGATGGGTGCTGGGTGGCTCAGGGGCTTGGTTTGGGCACACACGGACTTTCTCCCCTGAATTTCAAACGCAGTTTGGCTCGACAGCCACTGAGCGGAGTGGTTCATGACTCAGGATACAACTGTTTGGTGGCCAAGGAGAAATGATGTTGCCATAATAATAGCCTGCAATCTGTTAGCTCCTTCCTTCCTGGAATCGTCAAGATCACTGGAAGAACCCATCTCGAGGAGATAGCAACTCTCAGGTAGAGAAGTGGAAATAAAATCCTAGAGAGACCCAGTGCCTCTAGTCCAGATCAGTATTCATACCCCACCCCCCAACCTCACCATCCCCCAAGTCAGAAGCAGAACCAGTCTGAAAGTCTCCTGGTGTGAATTACTGATAATTCAGGGAAGTGATTTTCCCTCTCCCCACTTCCTGTGTCTCAAGGGAGATGGGTCATCCCAATCATCACCTGGCTTCTCAAACTGTCCAAATTAGGGACTGAAAATCTCCCTGAGTCACGCATCAAGTTTTGTCCATACTTGAAGGTCACTTGAATATTGAAAAGCTATATTGGCGATTGAAGTTGATGAAATGGAAGATGCTAAAAGAGTCCAGGTGAAAAAAACTGTGAACCAACAGCATGCCCATCTTTTCGATGGTCAGGCATCCTCGACCAACACCAAACCCCAGTGAGGCTTTTATTGGTCACCGAAACTTAACAGGGGAATTTTTTTTAGAGGACAGGGGAGTGAGGAAGAGACTAGAGGAGACACTAACCAAATCCTTCTCTGATATGAAGAAAGTGTAGAGGTTAAAAATGTAGGGGTTTGGATGCAGACTGCCTGGGATTAAATCCCAACTCCTACCTATGAACATCACAACCATGGGCAAGTTATACCATCTCTTTATATCACAGTTTTCTAATCTGTAAAATGGGGATTAAACAGGCACATATCACAAAAGGTTGTTGTGAAGATTAAATAGTTAAAATATGTGAAACACAGAAAAATGCCTGACACGTGGTAGGCATTCAAATAGGTAGCTAATATTGCAGAAAGAGTTAAATTTTTTGAGTTTTAAATTACTTTCATGCTGAGTATTATTTTTTTTTAAACTAAGATTTTGACCCTTTCAGTGTGTCTTCCTACATTTATATTTGCTTGGCTTCTCTTTTCCCTCTCCTAACACTCATTTGCTCTCACTCATACTCTTACACACGAATACATAAAAGCATACAACCATACCTACAAAAAAGCATTAATCCAGAGCTTGCAAATAGCACCTTGAATTCCACCTAGCATCTTGGCCATGCTCTTTGTCCATAAAAAATATATTTTGTTCACAGGCCTTTTCAGAGCTATCCCATTTCTCAAAGGTAATACTATGGCCATTTTAAAATGGAGGTTTTTGAACAACTGAGAGTGAATCACTCAATTGTACTAGAGACTTACATTTTCAGCCCTGATGGCATAATTAGTACCAAACCAGTCCTCCTGTTATAAACAAATATAAAACTGAAACAGAAGTTTTCAAACTCTAGACAACAATCAGAGAAGGAATGTGATTCTTGAGAAAAGTAAAATATTAGCACGTGATGTCAGCCCAATAATCCCCTTCAGCTTTCTGTAGAAACACCTTCTAGACTGTGATGCATAAAGGAGTAGCTTAAGCAAGGGCAATGATCTCACTGAGCTGATGGGGTAAAGACTGAAGTTCAGCTTTGTGTACCAGGTACCAGAGAGAAAGAGGCTGCACACACACACACACACACACACACACACACACACACACCACACTCAGAAAGAGAGCTCCAGAAACATGCATAAAAGTCTCTCTTAATATTTTACTGAACATTAAGTTGTACATGCAGAAGGAAGGACTCTGTGAGTCACGGCAGAGAATAATTACTGACGAATTGTGAGCTGAACAAAGATTCCAAAGATTGCATAAGGCTGGAGACATTGGATAACTGATCAGACAGATTCGAGAGACCTCACTGTACATACTGGGCGTTCAATTAAAATGTCAGAAAGGCAAAGTCTTAGGAGTAGGGCTTTTCTAGCTCTACAGTAAGGGCTACTTTATACTTTCCCTAAAACCTTTTAACATCGGCCTCAAGAAGAGCAAGTTAGTCTGTGAGCAAATGTTGACAGAAAAGTGAAGACTCTTCAAAGGAAGACAAATAAATCTGGTTTTGCAACAATGTAAAATCCACAATATCCAGTGAAAGCAGTGAAAAAAATTACTAGATATGTAAAAAAAAAAACCCCAAACAAAAAACAAACCCCAAAGAAACAAACAAACAAAAAACCCCCCAAAAATGTGATCTATAACCAAGGGGGAAATATACTTAAAAGAAATGGACCCAGAGATAGCTCAGATGTTGGACTTAGTAGACAAAAACTTTAAAACATATCAAGAATTTAAAGCAAACTAGACATAGTAGGTGAACAGATCAGGAATCTCAGTATAAAAACAGAAACTATAAAAAAAAACAAATAAAAATTCTAAAAGTAAAAGTTATTATATCTGAAATTAAAAAATTTTTAATAGCAAATAGGACACTACAAAAGAAGAAATCAAAGAACTTGAAGCACGGGAAGTAAAAAAGACTAAAAAAATGAATAGATCCCAGATACAATATAAAATGGTCTAATACAGGTATAACTGGAGTCCCAGAAGGAGAGGAAAGAGAAATTGAGTCAGAAAAAGTATTTGAAGAGTCAGTGACCAACTTTCTCCCCACATTTGCTGAACAATATCAACCCAGAGATAGCAGAAAGTTAACAAACCTCAAGAAGCAGATACAAACAAAACAACAGGAACATTATAAATGCAAAGTTTGTTGCTGAAACCAGTGATAAATATAGGAATCTCTAAAAAATAGCCAGACAATTATATACAGAGGAACAAAATTTTAAATATTGATTTTTCATCAGAAACAATGAACGTCATAATTCAGTGGAATGATATTTTTAAAGTGCTGAAATGTATAAAAGAAAAACTCACCAATTAAGAATTCAATGTCCAGTGAAAATCTCTGAAAAAACTAAAAGCAAAATAACAACTATTTTCAGATAAACGAAAGCTGAGCTAATTTAGCAGACCTGAACTATAAGAAATGTTAAAGGAAGTCCTTCAGGCTGAAGGAAAATTACATACACAAAGGCACAAAGAGCATCATATATGTATGTGGGTAAATATAAGAATATTTGTTTCCTAATTTCATAATTCCTTAAAAGTAATTGTGTAAAATTATGGTTTATAATATATGCAGAAATAAGATACATAATAATGTCACATTGTAAAATTCTTAGAATATACATGAAATGGCATCATAATTCATGGGAGGCTATGGTAAGTTAAGAATGCAAATAATTCCTAGACAAACTAGAAAAAAATGAAAATCAAATAGATGTAGTTCTCATAGAGGAGATAAAACAGTAATAAATAATATATATATATATATATTCGTATATATATATTTAAATAAATTTTAAAATTATTATAAAAGGCAGAAAATAGGAACAAAGACTGAGGGACATATTGAAAACAAGTAGCGCCAAAACCGGTTTGGCTCAGTAGATAGAGCGTCAGCCTGCGGACTCAAGGGTCCCAGGTTCGATTCCGGTCAAGGGCATGTACCTGGGTTGTGGGCACATCACCATTGGGAGATGTGCAGGAGGCAGCTGATCGATGTTTCTCTCTCATCGATGTTTCTAACTCTCTCTCTCTCTCTCCCTTCCTCTCTGTGAAAAATCAATAAAATATATTTTAAAAAAAAGAAAGAAAACAAGTAGCAAGATGGTAGACTTAAACTCAACAATTATGTTAAATGTAAATTGATTAAAAATGCCAATAAAAAGGCAGTTATTGTCATACTGGAATGAAAGCAAGCCCTAAATATATGCTAAAGAGTTGCACTTTAAAAATAAACAAAAGATTCATTAAAAGAAAAAAGAATGGGAAAAGACTAAAGCAGAGACACTAACCACAAAGCTAAAGAGATATTATAATTTGATATTAATATCTGACAATATGAACAGAGATCAAAAAGAATATTTCATAATAAGTTTAAGTCATTGAGAAGAAATAATGATCCTAAATGAGTATGCATCTAATAACAGTGCCTCAAAATACATAAAACACAAACAGAACTAAAGGGAGAAATAGACAGATCCATAATTATTGTTAGATTTGAACTCTACTATCTCAATAATTGATAGAGCAAGTAGATGGAAAATTAGTGAGATAAGATTTGAACAATAGTATAAACCAATTGAATCTAGTTAACACTATTGAACGCTAGATCCAAGAACTTCAGAATACATTTTTTTCACGTGCTCAGGGAATGCTCAGTAAGAACACATACGGGGTCATCAAACAAGTTTCAATAATTCTCAAAGGGTTAAAGTCATATATGGTATGTTATCTGACCACAAAAAAATTAAATTAAAATTATCAGCAAAAAGAGACCTAAAATATCCCTGAACTCATCCAGTTTGAAATAAATTACAGTTTCTTAAAAATTCACATATGAAAAGGCACATTTAAAAATCACATGAAGGCTTA